TGGCAAACTCATTAGTCAACAGAGCCAAATATCAACAGTACTTCTTCAAAATAGACTCACCCAGGCCAAAAACCGACTTCTGCGCATGGGCCACGAAGTTTCAATCGCCCTGTACGCGTGCCCGCACGTGGTATTTTGTGGAAGAGCCACACTCAAGGGGCCAAAGAGCCGCATGTGGCTCGCGAGCCGCAGTTTGCTGACTACGGGTATAGATGGTATTGTAGGTGATGATAAATGACATAGAGAAAAATGAAAGAGGGTTAGGTGGATGAGAAGGGAGAATGTATGATGGAAAGGATGTAAATATTTTAAAGAAGGTGGTTAAGGGAAGCCTTATATATTAACATTAATGAATAATATTTGAGTAGGGACCTGAAGGAGATGAGGGAGGTTGATATCTAGCTGGAGAGTGTTCCATATAAAGATCCTGAAGTGCAGGAACTTGGTGTGATTGGGTGGTGGGAACAAAGTGGCCAGAATGACAATTAGAGTGGAGTAAGAGTAGTCAGGCTTGAGTGGTATTGGGTAGGGTGGGGGAGGCAGATCATGTAGGGACTTGCAGGGGTCATAATAAGGACTTCGGCTTCTACCCTAAATAAGGTAAGAGGTTTTTCAGCAGAGAGTGACGGTTTAGTAGGGTCATACTGCTTGTGTTGAGAGTAGAATGTGGGGGGCAAGAGCTTGCATCATAGTATTAGTGGTAAGAAGTCAAATATAGATAAAATGTTGAAGATAAACTGGATGTCTTCATGGTTTGGATGAGGGACATGAGAGGAGTCAAGGACAACATCAAGGTTTTTGGGAGGTATCATTAGAAGGCTGGAGTTGCAGTTTAAGATAGCAGGAGTTCAGTTTTGGATATGTTACCGTAAGATTATCTCTAGTAGACACCAGGTAGATATGGTGAATAGGGAGTGAGTTGGCTCTGCCTGCCAGCATTCCAATCTCAGCTCCACCATTTACTAGGTTTGTGACAAGTTGTAAAAGCTTTCTGTAATTCAGTTCTCTCATCTGTAAAATAGCTTTTTAAGCAATAGTATGTATGTTATAGGGTTGTTGCGATGATGTGTATGGGACAGTGTCTGGGCACAGAATAATCAATGCAAGTGTTCGCTGCTGCTGTAGTTACTATTGTCATCATTATTCTGCCCAATGATAGATTACTTCCTGCTCCCCGTGATTCATTACTGAAAAGTAGAGCAATAAAGATCCACAGGATTTGGTTTATTGGCTCTTGTTTCTGTAAAAGGCTCAAAACATGGTAGCTTATCTGATGGGTGTAACTCTGAAGCTCTGAATGGAGAGAGATCAGTGGTAAACTGTTGGATTGGGTATAGCTGTGAAGCCTGAACTCCTGTAACTTGGAAAGAAGCACAAAGCCACTATTCACAGTCTTGTAAGATGTTGCTTTGAGTATGTATGTTTGCTTAGTCCTCGCCTTTATCTGGCATGTAACACAT